GCTTCCTAAGATGTCGGGCAAAATTACAGAGCTCTGTTATAAATCCAGTTATCGAGTGTAGCGGTTCAGTCGACCTTTGAGCGGCGTGCGAGTAACACGTTTTGAAATTCAGTTCGGCAAAATTGCGCGATTTTCTCATCACCATCTCGACCGCGTGAAATCGGATTAACGTTAAACGAACTCCCTTCGTTACATCGTTCACGTTACGATATATCAGTTTGTAATGAGAGACATGTTAAATACGTAAAAAATACGAAATATAAATTTAATGTTTAGAAATCATTCTCGATACGACGAAGAAACACCATAATCGAATCACTACCGCGATATTTTATTTCAACTAAACGTTAAAACGTCTTAATTATTTTACAACCTATAATTAAAAAAAAAAAAAAAACGATAGAAATTATTCATTCGTTCAAACTCGTAATCCCATCAATACAAAACAATTTCTTTATCCTAAATCACGCTTACTCCTTCCTACCCTTCCACGATCCAAATCTCGCATGAATCAACCATAAATTAAACCTCGATTAATACACTCGAAGATCTTACACCTGCATCAAACCTCAACCCTTAACCGTCAACGCAATTAAAAATTAATATCGACTAACACGAATAACACGAATACAAGAAGAGTATTTCAATCGTACACGAGCATTATAAAATGACCAATATATACGCGTATACGTGTACGAACGCGTCACACGGTCGGAGAAAAAGACAGAGAAACGATAAGAGAGCGCGAACAATAGAGATACAGGTAGCAGTAGGCTATTCCAACCTCGTGGCTCGCGGACTGCAGCATCCTGTGCTGCGCATATCGGTGCCGAACCCCTATGAAGGAAAATAATGAAAGTAATGGGGAACCCGCCCACTGCATTTAGTACGCGCAGCTACCAACCCCTCCCCCTCCCTCTTTAACCCCTCATCGCGGCCACCCTGTCCACGGCCCCAACGGGGTTCCCCTCTGTACTTGCCGCCTTGTTCATTCTCATCCATCCTAGGCCCTCCCCATTGTCTATTGTACCTGCCATTTCATTGTCCTTTATTTCATTATTTTTGCCGCATTCCAGTCTCCCTTTTGCGCGAAGGCAAGAGCCCCAGGGAGGGGGCGAGGAAGAGGAGAGGCGAACCCCCCCTCCTTTATTTACGGCCCCTGTAACAACAGACGTCTTAACGGAATTTAAACGTCGTAAATGGCATCCCGTGATCTCGTTATTTTTTTCTCCAGATCCTATTATCGAGAGATCAGGATATATATATATATATATTTGGGATTCAAAAGAAAATATTTTTTAAATTTTCTTTGCCCTTATATATCTTCGCGTAGTCGAGGCAAGATATTCTATATAGGACAATAAAGAAAGTTTCGAAGAATTCGGTAACGATAGTGGACGAATTTGAAAAAGTTAATCTTTCGAATTTCTCGCTCGATATCCAACGATCGAAGGTATATATCTCCTTGAGCGAAAACACGGCGGTGATCCCATCCGTGGATCCGTATTTGAGAATGTGCACCGTGATTTTGCCACGGTAACGTGATTATAGGCCCCCACGTCTCTCTCTCTCTCTCTCTCTCGTGCGCGTTGCCTTCTCCACGCTTCTCTCTCTCCCTCTCCTCCTCCTTTCCCTTCTCACCCTCCATGGATGTGTGTGCGTGCGCGCGTCCGTTGGACCGTCCTTTTCATCCACCCCCACGAATCTCCACGGCGCCACAAGGGGGATGAGAACGCCGACACCTCCACCCTCTCTCTATACACGACTCCTGAACCAAGGGAGAAAGAGAGAAAGAGAGGGAGAGGGAGGGAAAGAGAGACAGAGAGGAAGCATGGAGTAGCTACGCCGGGCTCTGATCCCTCGCAATTACTTCCCATTATCCGGGTATTAGGATTCACCCCAACTGGGAGCACGACGTGTTCCACAGACTCCGCCTATGCCTTCGTGCCCGACCGGAAACGCTCTCAGGCCTCCGTCAGCTCGCGATATCCCCCTTTCTTCCACCGGCCAGACACGGATCGTGGCCTCTCTAACGTTTCGGCAACAGGTAGCAAAAGACGTTAGGCTCGGTCGTCCTTCTCGATATCGATCCCTCGATCCGATCTGTGCGCGTAGAGGTCACAAATTTGCAAATTTTCTAGTTTCTTTTTCTTTTTTTTTCTCTCTCTCTCTCTTGGCTAACGTAGTAACAGTGCTGTGGAGGATGTTCTCTTTCGCTTTTTTCCCCTCTTTTTTCTCCTTTTTCTTTTTTCTCAGGAATTTTTTCGAGATGGATGGATTGTTGATTATTGGGATAATTTGAAATAAAAAGAAAAAAAAGGAGAGGTTAAATGAAATCCTTTACGGGTAGCCAATTGTGCGTGGAAATTTTGCAAGGAAGTTTGAGGAGGAGGGGGGGATGATTCACGGTTTAATTCGTGGAATTAAGCGGGGATTAATTGGTTCTTTGACTGTTTGGTGGAGCGCGTTAAGCCTCGAAAATGTTCGAAACGACGGGCGGGAAATGTCAGAGTGTCAATTAGCGGAATGATAATGTTGCAGGAAAGGCGGCCTCGTCATTCTTGACCCGTTGACAAGTTGTAAATGTCAATCGTATTCTCTCTGATACGTATTCTCTCGTGAAACTATTGCGCTCTAAAACTTGATAATCAAGATAACTCTTGGTAATAGATAAGAAAATATAACGATTCGATCGACGATATAATGATCATCGACTAAAAACTGGAAAAGTGTAAATGTATATATATATATATATATTGAAAGTGAAATGTATGAGAGTTACTCTAAAAAAGATTATCTTTTTATAAAGCGTCTAAGATTATTTATTTAGAAATTTTACTCTCAACACCGCGTTCCATTAAGGAAATATAACAACGCAGTAATTCACGCTTTAAATTTCCGTGAAATTTTTACTCCACTATTTTAAACATAAACAATAATAGTTGTTTAAAAGTTGAGGAAAGGGAAGAAGTCATACAATCTGGTCGTACATTATGACATTTTAATCCCAACTTGAAGCTAACTTTCTACTTCGCTATAAAAAGTAACTCGAAAACAGACTAGTTTTATTACGGCATCTCGCTATAAAAAGTGATTCGCAAGAGATCGACTAGACTCTAAATCACTAGAGAGAGTCATTTACAAGTCGTTTACACTTTCTACATCGTCTCGCCTTTCGAGTTCTTGTCCTTTCTTTTTCCCTCCCTTTTCCTTTTTTTTTTCTTCTTCTTTCTACCAACTTTTTTATCTTACACACCTGACATTACGATATCCTCGCGATCACAAACGTTCTTTACCTCGCACCAAATCTTGCTCGTCAATCCCTCGTCGATCAAAGATTTCTCGAAAGGAGGAACGTTTCTCCCCTTATTATCCTATCTTATTAAACATAGAACTCACTATGAAGTGTCATTTTACGAAACGAGATAATTCTCCACAGTTTTATTACATCCTTTAACTTGGTTCGTCTCACAATTACATCTCTCAAAATAAATAAATAAATAAATAAATAAATAAATAAATAAAATAACGAATCTTACGAAAACAAAATTTACAAAAAGAGTCAAACCGCACCGTTTCCACGTCGAATTGCACTATTTCTCGTAATAAACGGACACAGATTTGTCGTTCGAAAACTCGTTTAAAAACAGCGATTGCACAACGAAGAACGACGAATCCTAGACAAGATTCGCATAATCGTAACACTCTCGAGTCTCCTCTCGAATGCGACGAATCTTCCACCTCCTGTGCGACATCATCATCATCGTCATCATCATCATAATCATCATCATCACCACCATCATCCTTCCGCCATCTCGTTTCAGCGATGTTGAGCACGTTGAATGGGTTGTTGGGTCGGTTGATGAGACAAAGTGACGGAATGGCGATAAGTGAGCTGATGAAAACCGGTCGGTGAACCGGTGGTGCGTCTGGAAACGTGGATGTTGGTCGTTCGCGTAGGTGATGGCGTCTCGTCACCCAGCACATCGATTTCGTCGTCGTCCGAATCCACTGGCGCGTCGCTGCTCGCCCGTGATTCTCGGCCGCCGCTCAGAGAAAAATCCACCGGCCGTTCTGCAACAACAATTCCATCGAAAACGAGATATTTATATTATTTTTATAATCATTCCTTTCTTTATTTTGATTATTTTTTTTCTACAATTTTGCGCTGGTATAAAACCTCTTTTTTGGAGAACTGATCAAGAACGATCTTTTCGTTTATCGTTGCAAAAATGTATCGTGTTTTTGAATATGTTATTGAATTGTTTAATTGGCAAACGAAGAATATGGAAAAATTAGAATTTGAACGAATAAAGCACGTGTAAAATACAGTTCGAAAATGTTATCACACCGGCTCAGAATGTTTCACCCGCGAGAGTTCTACTCCGTACTGGAAATTGTAAATTCTCCCCCCTCCTCCTTGTAGAATTTACTAGTTCGAAAGCCTAAACTTTAAATTAAATTTCCCATAGTAAAATTATAGTATAAAATGTCTATAAAACGACGAATTGCTAGGAATTCCACGGTCAAGAGTCGCTATTAAAATACTTCCTAACTCATTTCTAATTTAAACCGAACCAACGATTCCAATCTCGTTCGATTCCAAGTCGAGCAACAACTCGTGACACGTTATGTACTCGATAAGAAAATAAAGAAACCAACAAATCGAAAAGAAACGCGCGAAACTCGCGAGAAGAAAATTTTCTTTCCTATCTTATCAGTGGTCAGAAGATGGAGCGATCAAATTGGGTCAGATATGTGGGTGTACACAAGTAAAGTCGTCCGGGCAATGGCGAATGTAGGTCTGGCCAAGCACTTAGCCGATAATTGACTAATTTTCTCGAAGACCGAGAATCGAGAAGACACAAGAGGTAAGAAAACGGAGGCCGGGAAGACGTGACGGAGGTTGAGAGACGCCGTAGACGGGGAAACACGCGGCGCACGAATAAAAGGGAGGGAGGGAGGGAGGGGAGAAGGAGGAGGAGACACGAAGAGGGATGTCGTA